GAGCTCCACCTGCTCACTGTGTAAGGCAATGGGAAAGGCAGACATGCTACAGCTCCTCCCTCCTAACATTCACACATGTATTGGTGTTGTCCTGTTCCCCACCTACCTCAGTTCCAGGAGGACTGCATTTCCAGTGCCCAGACCTGTGTCTAGCACATGATATAGTCAATAAACATTCAGACAAAGGAATGAGTGAATGAATGAATATATGAGTGAATGAATGAGTGAACAAGTGGATGAATTAATGGTTAAGTACATTCATACAACACAGACTAAAACACAATTTCAGTTTACAAGTACTGCAATTCGTGTATGAAAATATTGTCACGTTTAAAGTAACTGATAGATACTTACCTGGCAGGGGAGATACCATGATCACGAAGGTGGTTTTCCCAGGGCGAGGATTATCCATTGCACTCCGGATGTGCTGACCCCTGCGATTTCCCCAAATGTGGGAAACTCGACTGCATAATTTGTGGTAGTGGGGGACTGCGTTCGCACTCTCCCCTGAAAATAAAATAAAATAAAATAAAATAAAATAAAATAAAATAACTGATAGAGGTAACATGTTTAGTTTTGAAAAAAATTAAGTGTGGGAACATTTAAAGAACATTTAAATCACCTCACCAGAAATAGTCACAGCTTGAATTTTATTGTATTTCCTTTCAGTATTTGTCTTTGCAAAAGAGAAACATATTATTTGTGTGTGCATGTACATACATATGAATGAAATTATCATATTAAATATACAGATTTGTATTTTTTAACATTCTATCATAAACATTGACTGGTTATAGTAGTCTCTCATTATCCAGGATTTCCCTTTCCACAGTTTCAGTTATCTGTGGTCAACTGTGGTCCAAAAACATGAAATGGAAAATTCTAGAAATAAACAGTTCTTGAAGTTTGAAGTTGCGCACGGTTCTGAGTACCTCACTTCATCTCATCATCATGTAGGCACTGTGTCATCTCAAAGCTTCACAAGAAGAGTGCTTTCAGCACAATAAGATATTTTCAAAAAGAAAGACCACATTTACATAACATTTTTACAGTTCTATCTTACAGTCATTGTTGTAAATCTCTTACTGTGCCCAATTTATAAATTAAACTTTATCATAGGTATGCAGTAAAGGAAAAAAACTTAGTATATGTAGGATTTGGTATTCTCCATGGTTTTAGGCATCTACTGGGGGTGTTGGAGTGTGTCTCTGTGGGTAGGGGACCACAGTAATTACATGAACCATTTACCAACTTATGGGGTAAACAATGGCTACCCATCTTTTTCTTTTGTTGGTGAAGCATGATATATTTAAATATCCTCCTCTTGTTGACCATTTTGATAATCTCTAATTCTCTTCGTCATTGAAAATAATGACAGATTGAATATCCTTGAACATAAATCTTCATATATCTCCGGTTATTTCTTTGAGATAAATTTCTACATGTAATGCACTGAGGAGAAAAGCTATAAAAACATTCAATGCTCTTTACACACATTGCCAGCTGGGTTGTCAGAGATGTTTCACGTCATGAGTGGTGAGGGTTACAAGACATTCATTTGTCAAAATTTATCAAACAGTACACATAAGCAGATGCACTTTATTGTACGTAAAGCTAATTATTTTAATGGGGGGTGGTGGATAGATTTTATGTGAACTGGGCAGGAAGCAAGACGCCCACCGTGCCGCCATCTCCTGGGCTTTTGTTTTCCTGGTTGAAGCGCCCACGCCCGCCCGGGGATGGCCTGGGCAGCTGTGAGGATGGAGGGGATTTTAGGCAGCTGCTGGGGGGAAGAGGAGGAGGAGGAGATGTGAGCAGCTGTGGGGCTGAGACAGTTTGTTAAAGGGCATTTATATGAAGTCAGTCCTTCCCTGCTGTCCCTTCAAGGACTCGTCAATAAGACACCCACTTCTCACTAATGTATGGTGAAGGCAGATTCACACGCACTATTGAGGTGCCTTGGGGATGCAGTTTTCCTTCTGGGAGAATTAGGGGCATGGAGTGCAGTGTTGAGTCCATCGATAGGGGATTGGGGCCCGGAGCTCTCTGATTATTAAGTTCCTGCACAAGGCTGGTTTTGGGTGCCTGCTGGGTCCTGTCTGCCCAGAGGTGACACCGAGGGCCCTGCTCCAAGCACACTGCACTGAGCACACACAGTCACCACTGCAATAGAAGAGAATCAGGACAAGGTCACAGCGACCTTCGGAGGGCAACGCAGCATCTGTGAGGCGGCCACACTCTTCTCGCCCCTCCCGTGGGGAAGTCAGGGAACTCACTGCCAGTGGCAGCAGCAAGGGGCACTCAACTGGCCCTTCCTTGAAGACAAAACCCTCAGAGAAGCACTCCAAGTTGGGAGAGTGGTCACCACCGCCACCAAAGCAGTGGCTGAGACCAGCTGACCGTGTGCCTGACCACTGGACCTGTGGGAGGAGCTCAGTGGTTGAATGGGGAGACCAGTTGATGTGGCAAGGTCATGAGTTTCCTGTGGATTAAGTGACCCAAGAGGGCGGCTGGACTTGAGCCGACTTGATTACATTGTCCCCCAAGAGGGTGATGTACTGGATAAAGATGCCCAGCACCAAGAGCCTGTGAGGAGGGATTCCCCCAACAGGGAGCTCCAAAGAGGGGAAGAGGAGATTCACAAGCCAGATTGCCCAAGCGAGTCCCCACAGATGCTGCCAGGGAGTCGATATATGCCTGAGAGAGGCAGCACGGGGCCCTGCTGCAGAAGGGAGCCCGGGGCAGGCAGGGTGAGAGAGCAGCACCCACCAGCAGAAGGTCAACCCCAGCTTTGCCCCAGGAGTCCAGTTCGGAGCTCCAGTGCAGAGCTCTACCAGCCTGGAGGGTACGGAGGCTCGCAGGAGAGTAGCGCTGGCCTTCTCCACCCAAACCCCCTCCACGGCCACGAGTCCAGCCTGCGCTGCGGGCAGGGAAAAGGCTTTGTAGAGTATTTAGGATTGAAGTTCGAAAATGAACAGGACCCCTCAAGGTCCAGTAGGGATGCTTTTAATAACCAGCATGACTGAGAAGTGACAGAATTCGGCTGACGGGTCTTCACTGGAGCTGCTGTCGAGCTGTCAGCAGTGTGCCCACATACCAGAGTCGGGAGCAGGTACTGGAAATGCAGAGACTCTGCTGGGGGTTGAATTGTGTCCCCCAATAAAAACATGTGCTGAAGTTCTAGCCCCTAGCACCTCAAGATGCGACCTTATTTGGAAATACATGGCAGATAGAATTAGTTAAGGTGAGGTCACACTGGAATAGGGTGGGTCCCTCATCCAGTGTAAGAAGACGGCCTTGTAAAGGCAAAGACACAGGAAGAAGCCACGTGAAGACACAGGCAGAGATGGGAGGCTTTTGGAGGCAACCCAAGAAATTACCAAAAGGTAGGAAGAGGCAAGGAGAAGTTCCCCTGCAGATTTTAGGGTAGCTCGGCCTTGCCAACACCTTGATTTTGGACTTCCAGCCTCCAGAACTGTGAGAGAGGAAATGCCTGTTGTTGGAAGCTACCCAGTTTGTAGTACTTGGTTGTGGAGCCCGAGCAAACAGATAGACTGTTTCCTGCTATGCCCCACCCCCCCCCCACCCGCACCCCAGTGCACCAGGGACACTCCTTTCCCTGGCCCCTCTACAAGCATGTCCTTGCTCCAATGGGATGGACTTGGGTGAGCCCGAGGGGAGGTGCACATGCTCATTCAGGTGGAAGGGGCTGTTTCTGTGGGGCTGGAGAATTTGGGTGGCTGTCGCTGAGAAGATCCCAGAACACATGCTTCCCACCCAGGGCCAGTATCCATCTGAAGGGGATTCATGACCTCACTGGGCTCTTTGTCGGTCTCATGCTATAAAAGAGGCCCTTTGAATGTTAGGAGGGTTGGAATTATCTAGAGGACAGAAGTGGTCCAGGCCTTCCTGACTGTGGGAGCTTCTAAGGAGTCCCCAGAGCTTTGCATTTCCCCTGAAGCTGCCCTGATGTCCAACCAAGCCCTCTCAGTCACCATGGGATGCGGGTAAAATCAAATCCCTGATGGCATGGACTGTGGAGTCCTGAATGCTCCCCCAGGTTCCTGCAATTCCCAGCAGAGGTGTCCTCCTTCCACTGGTCAATGCGCTGTGACTCTCTCCCACACAGACTGGGACAGAGAGCTCCGCTTTTCCACCAGTCCTGTGCAGGTGCGCTCACCTGGAGGGCACTGTGAGAACTTAGGAACCTGGGTGACGATTGCAGGGAGTGGTGTCTGTGGTCCCCGGTCTTCTCTCCTGTCCCCAGCTCGACACACTTTCTCCTCCCAGCTCCCTTCTCAATAGAATAACTGACAGATTCACGTCCGATCTCCCATATAGCAGCTCTGCCCACACCCAGGTCCCGGGAGCTCTGTCTACCAGGGGAGACATGTTCTCAAACAAATCCCGTCTCCTTTCTCCCTGGAATGCAGGGACCACCTAACAATGCATTTGTTCGCTTCTTGTGTTAATGTCTGAAGACAGGAGGAGACAAAGGTCTTTAAGGAAGAAATTGAAAGACATTCTTCTTTCTCTTTAAGACTCCAGAAAAGGGATGGGGTGCCCTGGGCCAGCTGCACATCATCGCTCAGCTACTGGTGGGGGATAAAAAGGGGAGCAAACCAACCAAAAGAGGCCAAGAAGGAGGCCAAGGCTCTGGGGCCCCACCAGAAGTTAGAGGAGAGAGTGAAAGCCAGCCTGATTCTTAAGACCAGAAAGACTCCAGGAGTTCTAAGCCAGGAATGTGGTCCAGGTGGTCGTGGGGTGCTGGAGCCCTGGGCCAGACCCAGCTGGTCTCGTACACTGTCTCAGAGAGCTCTCTAGCCCTCTCCACTGGAAACAGAAGGGTGGTACTCAGGACCACCAGCCTGGCCTCGGGGTGATTCTAGAAATAAGACAGCGAATAACACCAAACCCAAGACAATTTCCATATACTTTATTAAAAAGTTTCTTTGTATAAATTTCCTAAACACTTTAAAATTAAAATTAGACCCCACCCACCCCTGCACCAAAAAATAAACAAAAAACACAACATTAGAGGAATGCCAAAAATATTCTCTATTATGACTTTCTTTTCACTCTTTAATGAAGGCATTGGTCCCGTAGCAGTGCACAGAGATTAAGAGAGTCTGCTTCCTTCCAACCAGATGGTTTGTTAGAGGATTTAGAAAAAGAAAGTTCTCTTGGACTCTAATCCAGGATTTGGGGAGAAAAATGGAAACATTGGGTAGTTGTTTATTCGCCAGAACAGGCTATCCATCTAAAGTCATGCTTAACTGGGAGGGAAAGAGACGAACCAAGCGGAAGGATAGAGAGTAACTGTGAAGTTGGGGGCTATTTTCTAGACCTTATGTTTGCCTGGAACAGGCAGAACATGAAACTGCAGAGGGGATTTGAATGTTTAGACATGTTCACATAGACACCAGCAGTGGCTATTACACACGTTCAAAGTATACGTGGTCACTGCCTGGGGACCAGAGCGTGGGCCCACAGGCACACTAGCACCATGTTGATAGGTCGTGCGGCAGACGGCTCCCCAAGTTCGAGTGTAAATCAAAGCATGAAATGGTACGGTGCCAGGGAATCAATACCCGGAGCTTCTATGAAGACGGCTTGGACATGGCTGACTCCTTCTTCTTCAAGAGGTACGTGTCCCTGGTCGGCCATTGCTTAGGTCCCGATCACAGCCATGACTTTGGGGTTGACAAGCCCTGAGCATCGACAGATGGGGCGGGCAGGCAGAGAGGAGGAAAAGCCATATTACTGACATGAAATGACCCCACAGCCTCTGGTTTTCATCACCCATCGCTCACTGTCCTGCTCAAAGCCTTCCCTGGCTCCCCAGGGCTTCTGGGCCTGGGGGTGGGGGCTCTCCTTCAAGCTGAACCTTCTCTCACCTTCACCTATGGCCACGTCTTTATGCAAACTGAACACCCACCCCTGCCACCTTAGTGACATGGGCCCAGGCTCTGGGTGAAGATGGCCTGTTTTATTACCAATCAAATCACCCATCGTAATGGCGATTTCGGGTGGCCCCAAGATCAATATTGCTTAGAGGAAGCACAATTACTTAAAGATGAATAGATGGGATTAGTTATCTTTGGTGTTATCTATAATTGTTCGTTATACTATTTCCCTAATAATCATGTTTATTACAATATTTTATGAATAACAGGGACTTCGTTACGTTTCCAGTAGTGTGGAGTAATTGGCCATGTGTTTCTTCATTGACAAAAATATGAGGATATGAGAAAGTATTTAAGAAATATTAATCATTCAGAAAGTTCCTTTCACGTGCTTTATTTGAATATCTCCCTCATCTGAAGATACAATCTATTTTTTGCTTCATATCTACCATAATTATTGCAATTCAAATATCTTGAAAAGGTGAATTACTGCCCTAGGTCTCTTTTATCTTATTTAGAACACCACAAACACAGAAGGAAGCCACTTACCAGGAGAGCAAACCTTCTCGCATTCTTCCTGTGAATCGAATCTGTTCTCGTTTCCGCCGCACCCTCTATACCAGAACCTCCCACAGGTCTTGGTCTGCGCGTTGTGGTACCATTTCAACACAAAATTTCTGCACGTTCCTTCTTCTTTGGGCAGCTTACAGATATCTTTAACAACGAGAGGAGAAAAGACATCCTTAGAGCCCATGGGTGACTATCCCCAGTGCCAGGGGCTGAAGGTCTCATCACAAGGCTGCTGGAGGTAGAAAGAGAAGAGTGAGGGGGAAACTCCCCACAGCTCCCCAAGCCTCAGTTTCCCCTCTGTCAAATGAGCTTTGTAACCACCCAGAGCTTCGTAAACAACAAATACAATCGTACCGGCGAAAGGACTCCATGAACTGCACTCGGAATCCCAATGTCAGCTCTCCTTCATTGCTGGATAATTTAAGGCAGTGGTTCTCAACCTTGGCTGCACATTAGAATCACCTGGGAATCTTTTTAAAATCCTGATTTCTGGGCCTCATCTTCCAGAAATTCTGTTTCTTTGTTATGGGGTGAGGCCACAACATTAGTTTGTTATGGGGTGAGGCCACAACATTAGTTTGTTATGGGGTGAGGCCACAACATTAGTAACAAAGAAACAGAATTTCCGGAGGATGAGGCCCAGAAATCAGCATTTTTAAAAGATTCCCAGATGATTCTAATGTGCAGCCAAGGTTGAGAACCACTGATTTAAGGTAAAATGGGCTGTGTTTCCCTTTCCAACCCCTGGGTCAGCCACTCTCCAATTCCCTCACCACTGAATCCTCAGAGAAGAAACCGACTTTTCCAACCTTGGAGTGTTCCACTCCCTGGCAAAATAACAACTAATACTGTCAGAATATAGTTCAAAAATAAGGCTGTCCATTTCACTACAAGCCAACTAGGTTGAAAATAAAAATTAAAATGAAAAACTTATGAGTGTGTGTATGTACGTACGTTGAGTGTCTGTGTGTGTATGTATGTGTCTGTCTCTGTGTGTGTATGTATGCGTGTGTGCATGTGTGTGTGTGTGTGTGTGTGTGCCTATAGCCCAGTGCCTTTGTGACCGGCCAAATTAAACAAGTAAAGAAAAAGATGTGTCGACAGTGATGTAAAATTCACAACAGCAAAAACGCCGCAGAGCCAAGCTGCTCTGAAGGCAGGGGCATTCTTTGTCCAGTTAAGGAAGCTGATTTTGAGTGCACACGCCTGATGCGGCCCAGCTGCCCGCTGAAGCCGCGCTCGCAGAGCCTGGGAGGACCTCCCGCTCACACTCGGGGAAACGTCTGTTTACAGACTTCCTGGCAAGCTGCAGGTCCTGCTGGGAAAGAGAGGCACTAATGTCAACTGTTATCTGAGAGTCTGGAAAACGTAAACCTTTCCACAAGATCCCTGGCGTGGACGGTACCACATGTTTCCGTGAGTGGCTAACTGCCTGACTCACCAGCCCTCCCCACGCAGGGCTTTTACCCACAGCTGCGCGGGCCGCCCCCAGCAGAGGTGGTCAGCATGCACAGTCCTGACAGATGTCAAGAAAGAAAAATGGAGCCTTAGGGAGAGACCCAAAGCTGGGTCTACTGCATGATGGACCAGACCCCAAGGTACACAGGACTGAGGCTCAGAATCCCGTGAGGATCAGTCCCACCGGGCCCTGATCTGAAGCAAACCCGGGAACTTGTGTCTTCACGCTGGTGGGAATCACTTGGTGGGAAGCCCACCATGTGAGATGGTGAAGGGACATTCAGGTCCTGGGTTTGACCATTATGGCTCATCAAAACGCAGGACAGAGGTTTAGATTCATCCAAACAGACTCCTGGGAGCCTTGACAGCCACACAAGCCCCAATTTCAAAAACTCTTTTCTCTCTATCACAGGGAGAGAGGAGACCTAAGGGACAAATGTCTGGATTGAAAACACCCTCTTACTTCTGATTCAGTGCCTCAGTCTTTAAAAAAAAAAAGAAAAAATGAAAATGACCAGCCCAGCCAGATTCTTGTTTAAAGATTGTGCTGTTTATATTAACTAAACACTGTTTATATATTCTTGGCCCTTCTGGACCACACATAAGAGAGCCAAAAACATCCCCAAAATTGCTGCGTAGTTTACACCCATCTTCTCTCACTGAAGCACAGAATTTGCTAGAAATTTTATATTTCACATACTCTTTAAGGAGTAAACTTATCAATGGGTGAGAAACAATATACACAGATGTCAGTGACTCTGACATTATCATCCCATCTGTCCTGACCCGGGTCTTTGGGGGATTTCTATAAGCTCTTTGTGGCGTCTCTCAGCTCAAGCAGCTCATGGGGAAGCCTCATGGAGGTCACTCGGGAGTGGAGCTGGAGTGGCTAGGAGCTCAGGTGCCCAGTGCAGGGGACACAGGCTTCCCCAGGTCCCTTGATGCAGGACTCAGAAAACTGCTTATGAGCAGAAATCAAAGGGTTGAAACTTAAGTTTTCTTCTCCAACCCACCCTCAACTCCACATTCCTACTTCCACTATTTTCCATTTGAGTTGAAAATCATAACATTAAAAGTTTTTATAAAATCGGCCCTGAACTCCTGAATCATTCCCATACATTTACATCCAGAGGAGACAATTTCTTGTTTTTCAATCAATTTTTCCATTAGAAAGACTTGAGGAGCTTGAAAAACGTGGCTGTCCCTAACACAGACCAATTTCTAAACTTGTTTTCAGAGGCAAACTATTCTAAACATTTTTTCAGTTCTCTAAGTAGTTCATTTATTTCCCTTATTATACATATATGTGCATAACAGTTTCACAGTTCCTGTACTGACTCAGTTACCTTCTTTCTTATAATGACTGAGGCTACATGTCATTATGGATTGTGGCTATATGAATCGATGGTAGATAGATGATGGAGAGAGAGAGAGAGAGAGAGAGAGAGAGAGAGAGAGAGAGAGAGAGAAACAATGTAGATGTATACATGTAAATGTAAATATAGACATAGATATAGATTATAGATATAGACACATATCCATGGACATAGGGAAAGTCCATTGATGGAATAATGTATTCTAGCAAAAGAGAAGGTTCTCACTAGAAAAGATTAAAGAATCAAGAAGCCTCTACTCCCAAGTATGGAGTCAGAAACCACCCAATTTTATTTATTTGAACACAGACGAGACAGGGTTGCAGACCCTACAGAAATGGTAAAATGGAGAAACAAATAGCACCTTAAAAACTTACAGTGAAAAGAGTAAAATGAGGAATCCTGGTAGATAACTGAAAAAATGATGTGCTGTTGCTGCTGACGATGCAATACATATGGAGAAAGCACAGCTGCTTTCAAGTCCAGCACGGGACAGAGCAGCTGGGCCCCAGCAAACGCCTTTTATCATAGTCAGGTACAGAAATAAACACCAGAAAGAGCTACGCCTTCCTCCTCCTGACTGTGGCCAACACACTGAAAAATAATGAACTGTCCCCACTCTTAGGAAAACCTTGTGCTCTGGAGCCTATAAAACATGGAATTTGGACTTTGGATATTAGTAGCAACATCTTTTAGGAGAACACTCGAAAGCAAAGCATGTCGACTATGTCAGTCATCGGTTCCTCGAGGGTGAATGACTAGAGCTCGTGCTCTGCTCAGCGAGGGATTACAGGTCTGAGAGAGTCCCACTGGCCAGGAAAAGAAGCAAGGAACAGTGGCCAGTCCAGGAACATGCCCGGCTGGTCCCTGGTTAAACGTCAAACGTGCACTCACTTGGCTCGGGCACACAGAGAGTGGTATGAGAGACCGAGCCAGGTATGTGCTTAGGAAATTGGGACCAGAACACAAATCCCATGGGACATTTCCAAACCCGTCCGCCATGGGTCCTCATCTGCATGTCTTGTGTCTCTGAGCAGTTTGTGGTTGTTGTTGTTGTTGTTGCTGTTAGTCCTCACCCAAGGATATTTTTCCATTGATTTTTAGGGAGAGTTGATTTTCACAAAAGAGAGGGAAAGATAGAGAGAAACATCGATGTGAGGGAAACACATCGGTTGGTTGCCTCCTGCATGAGCCCTGACCAGGACCCAGGCTGGGGAGGAGTCTGCAACCAAGGTGCGTACCCTTGACCGGAATCAAACCTGGGACCCTTTGGTCTGCAGGCCGACACTCTATTCACTGAGTCAAATTGGCTAGGGCCTGAGCACTTTTTATTAGATTGGATCACTGAATGGGTGACACTCTACTTGTTGTAGCATCATAGACCACAGAAATACACACTAGTCCCAATATGAGAAAAGTGATAAACAATACATGGATTCCTGGCGGCAGTGCCCAAAGCAACTCCCATCCAATTTTCTCCAAGAGCCTGGGGATGGGCAAGGTAAGTTTCCAGGGATAGCTTGGAATATGCAGAATGAGCCCATGCTGGGCCACACCAAGTGGATATGGAACTTTCCCCATAGAAGTCATCCTGCGCTGAGAGTTAGAACCTCAGCAGGTGACAGAGTATCCAAAATGCAAGGGCTGTAACTGTTTGGGAGAAGGCCGTACTGGTGCTGCTAATGGACCTAATGTTCTCACAACTCACCTATTTCATTCTCAGCCAGCGGTTCTGTGCTCACCATGAGATTGAAGGTTGAACTAGAGGCCGGCCTTGCTGGTTGTGGAGGTGGAGGCTGAGTTTCCCCTATAAAAGAAAAACACATGCAACTAGTAGGTAACTCAGACACTGAAGGACCAGGGAATCCTGAGGGATGAGGCAAGCTTGCCTCTCTGGATTAAGATAAGGGTGGGCCGTTGAAACACAGGGACCCAAGAAATCTATACACAGAGTCCTGATGTCTGCTGTCTGCTAGTTCAATTCATCTCAATAAGCAAACAGAGCAAATCTCTGTGCTTTGAACAAATCTTCTCATTTTCCAATGTAAACTCTTCTGTTTCTAGCCGAGAAAACAGATCCCTGGGGTGGAAGGGTCTTTGGACTCTTTATCTTCGTGGATTACATGATGGCTGGTGGGAATCCCCTTCCCTCGAGCACAGTTCTTTGATCTGAATAGCACTGGCCGGAAGAGGAAGAATGTGAGCCTCCCCCTCCACACCCCAGAGAAGCCAGGGTCAGGAAGAAAGTGGGGGACAAGAAGAACTTAGAGAGGAGGTGGGGCATGAGTAATTTAGAGTCTGGAGAAGCTGCAGGGCCAGGCCTTGGGGCTGTGGAAGAGCCAGGGCAGAGCCGGAGTATGGGGGGCGGGGGGAGGGGAGGGAAACTCTGAGGTCCTTTCTGCGGTGGCCAAGGATGCCTGTGGCCCCCCGGCTGGTTACTCCCTAAGGAGCCAGGGACCTTTGGTGGTGTTTTCTGTTCACTGAACATGGAAATGTACTTCTGAAACACAGATGTGATGGGCATCAAGCCCAGCCAGGTTACATGGGCATATTTCTTTCTCGCAGGGGAAGGGCGGCACCCAGGCCAAATGGATCTGGTTTCCTCCAGGACCCCAAAGGCAGGGCAACAGGTCACAAGGAACCCCATCTTCCATTCATTTGTTTATAAAGGATTTTGTTTTAGCCTAGTTATTTCAGAACAGATTCAATGAATATGAGTTGTTCCCTGTATGTCCTGTCGACATTCATGTACAAGTCAGGTACCAACTTTTATTAAATGGACCCCGTACTCACTTGTACTGAAACTTCCACGGTAGATGGCCTTAACCTGAGACCTCAGGTAGCAGACCACCACCACATGGTACGTGTGCCCAGCTTGCAGGCCCCCAATGGCGCGGTCCGTGACCGTGAGGTTCTGCTTCAGAACTAGGGACTGGTCATGGGCTGAGGTAACGGTGAGGTCGTAAAAGTAAGGGCTGGGGGGCTCCGGCCTCTCCCAGTGGAGTTTGGCGCTGTTCTCGGTGATCTCCAGCACCTGGACCTCTCGGGCAGCCTTGACTAGAAAAGACCAAACACAGTGTGGGGACAGATAAATAAAACCCCAGGTGATGGAAACAGGCAGGCAAGAGACAAAAGCTGAGAGATATGTATCAGTAGACAGTTGACCAGAAAGCGAGGTGAGGCAGGGACCCAGTTTCTTGTTCATGTTCCCAGGAAATATTGGTCTTCTACCAATGTAGATGAGATGTGAAATGATTCATAGTAATTAAAACTTGCGTTATCCATCAGCAAAGTACATAACTCCCCCTTTTTCCTTCTGACAATCTCTCTTACTAAAGGATACTATGAAAATTCATGGTCCCATGTGCTATCTGAAATGTGTTCACTATGGTGTGAACCCCAGGATTTTAAATATATTGAGTCATGAAACCTTAGGGCATGACATGAAATTCTTCTAAAGGAATCTCTGCTCTCTGTACATAACATGAAGACTACTTCCATGACCTTTGTAAGAGCACATGCATTCTGCCCTCACCTTTCTATATAGCTTGTGATACTCCCAGCGGTTCTCAACCTGTGGGTCGCGAACAATGAAAATACATCCTCCATATCAGATATTTACATTACAATTCATAACAGTAGCAAAATTATAGTTATGAAGTCACAACGAAAATAATTTTATGGTTGGGGGTCACCACAACATGAGGAACTGTATTAAAGGGTCGTGGCATTAGGAAGGTTGAGAACCACTGTAAGTATCTTCTAACATCTTTTTTGAGGAAAAAATAAAATAACACCCTCTGGGCCTCATGGCTCCCCTCCCCTCGATTTCTCCTTCAGGCTGGAGCCTGCTTTTCCCATGGACAGGCCTGGCACAAGGCTCAGCCTGTGGGGTGGCTGACTGTCCAGGTTGCTGAGCTAACCACCAGGCAGCGAGGGGCCTCTTTTCTATGGGTATGTGCTTGGCAGCAGGACAAAGTCCGCAATCATGAAACTCCTTGCAGATCTCCTGGAGTCGTATCGTATGGGAGGCAGGTCTGGCTCCAGAATCCAAGCACAGCCCATGGCTCAAGAGCCGACAATAGGCTTTTTTTTCACTCTCACTCCCTAAATGGGGCCCCAAACTCTACTTCTGCTTAGAACTCATCCCTTTTGCTTAAGATCTGGGTTTCCAGGAGAGAGAGATCATGCCCACCTGTGAACTTCCCAGAGAGAACAAACAGGTGTGGGCTCGGGTGGGAGTGGGGGAAGCGGGAGAGCCCTTTTGCCTGTTCTGCATGGAGCTCACCAGCCTCACATGTAGTGAGAGATCTCTTTCTAATATAGAAAACAGGCCATGTTTTGACAAGTCCCTGCTCTGACCAGCACCTTTTAGACATACAAATCACCCAGATGTATAAAACCCTGATCAGTGACTGCATTTCAATGGCTTTGTAAACAGGCTTTGAGGGACCTGCCCTGGACACAGGACAGGTGGGTGTCAGGGGGCAGCCCTCCCAGCAGCTTGCTTACCCGCGGGCTTCGCAGTGGCTGGCTTGGTGGTGGCCGGCCTGGCTGCCTGGGGCTTGGGGGCCTCAGGCTTTGCTGCCACTGGTTTGGTAACGGCAGGGGGTCTTGCAGCTGCTGGCTTTGCTGCTGCCACTGGCTTTGCTGCTGCCACCGGCTTTGCTGTTTCTGCTACCGGTTTTGCTGCTGCCACCAGCTTCGCTGTTTCTGCCACCGGTTTTGCTGCTTCCACTGGCTTTGCTGCTGCCACTGGCTTTGCTGTTGCTGCCACCGGCTTTGCTGCTGCCACTGGCTTTGCTGTTGCTGCCACCGGTGCTGTTTCTGCTACCGGTTTTGCTGCTGCCACCAGCTTCGCTGTTTCTGCCACCGGTTTTGCTGCTTCCACTGGCTTTGCTGCTGCCACTGGCTTTGCTGTTGCTGCCACCGGTTTTGCTCCTGCTACCAGTTTTGCTCCTGCCACTGGTTTTGCTGCTGCCACGGGCTTTGCGGCCACTGCAGGTTTGACTGTGGCCACCTTTGAGGCCTCAGGCTTGGCAGGCACAGGTCTTGCAGCTGCAGGTCTTGAGGCAGCCGGCTTTGAGGCCGGCAGGTTGACCACGGCGACTGGTTTGGATGTAGGACTTGAAGTAACATTATTTGGTGTGTTTCTGTTAAAACAAATTAAATTTTGCTTCAACCCATCTATAGTTTTGCCCGCTATCTAAAATGGACAGAGACATGCCCTAGTGAGCTATGCAGAGCATACTGTTGTATTAAATGCATGCAGTCGTTTTATGTATTACATATAGGCCTGCACATCTCAAATCCCTTCTCTATAGAATCTGTGCCACAGAGAACATACTGAACAGCATGGAAAATAATAATCACTAAAAATGAAGCATCTATTGTACTATAAATACATCTGACATCTCTTCAATTTATCAAATAAAAGCAGGGTGAGAGTAAAGAGACAATAAATATTGAAAGGATGGTAATTATTCTTATTGCTAACAAAAATAATCAGTTAATAGCTGCTCTGATTATTAAAAAGTGTCCACTCAGCAAAATGCTGTGTTGAGCTGGAAAATTATAAAGTCGGTGTATGCTTTCACTCCCAGGCTCATTGTGCATTTTAGTTTGTATTAAGTTTTGTATGTGTGATTTTGTTTTGATTATTTTTTTATAATTTATTGTTCTATTCGAGTCACCAAAGAAAACAGCAACATAATTAAACACAATGGCACAGACCCACCCCTTGATCATTTCTTGCCCTGACATGAACATTTGTTATAGATATATCACACTACATGTCATATGCAGTATATTTTCAAATTGTTATCATACAAACTCAGATATTAGATTTGTTTGTTTTGTTTTCCTGGATAAGGTTGATCCAACTTTTGGGAATGTTCTAGAGCAGCGGTTCTCAACCTGTGGGTCACAACCCCTTTGGGGGTCAAATGACCCTTTCACAGGGGTTGCTTAAGACCATCGGAAAACACATATATAATTACATATTGTTTTTGTGATTAATCACTATGCTTTAATTATGTTCAATTTGTAACAATGAAATTGGGGATCACCACAACATGAGGGACTGTATTAAAGGGTCGCAGCATTAGGAAGGTTGAGAACCACTGTTCTAGAGGAATTATAAAGGTAATTAAGGCTAGAAAAAGAGAACCTATGGACCAAGATCAACAGGGTAGTACCATAGCACCAGAAAAGGGCCATGGCTGCTTTAGTAATGATTCTCAACTAATGAGCCTGAGATCTGAAGCATCCCCTCTGGGGACAAAAGCAAGAGCTGAGGGGTGCAAGGGGTGATGGAGAGAAGGGTGTGTAGGAGGAAGAGGTGGGCTCTCTCTCCCCACCCTGGAGGTCAGCGGAAGTAAGACATTCCTATTTCAAACATAATCCGAATCCACACATCATCTGGGTGCCATAGTCAGAACCCCCTCCTCCCCCAGAGCATGGCACACTGTCGCATTCTCTTGAAGGGTACCAATCGATGGCACATTGCTGCGCTCGGTCCTGCCACCACATTCCCCTCACCAGGCTCTCTGTCACACAGCCACACTGCTCTCCCGTCTGCTCCTGGAGTTGGCACCACAGATGGAGCTGGGCATACAGTCACTGAGCATGTGCCAGGTGGCCACCATCACTGTGGGTACCACAGTCCCTCCCATCTCCCAACCCTCTCATTAGCCTTCGTGGTGGAGCATGCACGTTGCCTCCACTTGCTACCACCATCACCTGTGTGATTACAGCATTAATCATTTTAAGAAGATCTGGAGTCCATTCTTTCCTGAAGGTATCCAGTCCTTCTACAGGAAATCATTTCACACCCGAGATGGTTGATCGCTTGGACACAGGGCCTCAACTGCCCACCCCTCTGTACCCATGCCCTGCAATGTGATGTGGCAGGTCCTCCCACCAAGTCCAGCTCCCACCCTCAAATCTAGCAAGGCTGGCCTCTGGACATGCTTTGACCAAAAGAATGTGGCAGAGGTGACAGTGAGCCAATCTTAGCCCAGGCCCCAAGAGGTCTTGCACACTTCCGCCTTCTCTCATGACCCTGCCCTGTCACCTGTGGACAAACCCAGGCTTCCCCACAGAGAATGAGAGACCCTGTGGAGCAGAGGTGAGCCGTCCAGCTGAGACCACCCTACACCACCAGCCCACAGCTGATGAGTAGCTGACCACAAGCATATAAGTGAGCCCAGTAGATGCCAGAAGAACTGCCCAGCTGATCCCAGGCAAAAATTGCTAACCCAAAGAATTGCAAATTAGAAAATATTGTTGTTTTAAGCCACTAAGTTTGGGGTCATTTGTTATGCAGCAAAAGCTAACAGATACAACAGATTCTTCTAAAACGGGGGTGGGAAACCTTTTTTCTGCCAAGGGTCATTTAGATATTTATAACATCATTCTTGAGCCATATAAAATTTTCAACTTAAAAATTATGCTGCTATGACAAAAGGTCCGAGATTTGTTGAATTTCAAGTTCCACCTGAAATTTCCTTGGCAGGACCAGACCAAATGATATGGCCCATGGGCCGGACATTCCCCACCCCTGTTCTAAAAGAATGTCCTATGTGACCTTAGGGAAGTCACATTTTCTGAATTTTTATGTCCTCCCCCCATAATGTTAGTCCTTGGAGGACCTCGGCATTTCCCCTAGCACTGTAATTTGTGGGACAATTATTATAATCACTTACACTTGTTTGTGACCAAATTTCACAGGAGTCTTTGCCGGTTGGTCCCCTTGAAACCAACTGCACTGTTTCCTGATATCAGGGGACAAGTAAAAAGCATTTTCACCTAGAGAGAAATAGGGAAAAAAAATATTTTAAGTGTATGCAAATCCCTTGCAAATTAAAATTAATATGCTAATGAGTTCAATGAATCACATGGTATTCAGTCCATAAATATTTGTTGACTTAATTAATTCTTCCAGACAAGTTAAGTCCAGTGAGTTTTAAACATTAAGTATAATGGTGCTTGATCCATAAAACATATCAAGCCAATATCTTGTATTTAGCAATATTTAGGTGATTTGGTTAAAGATTATATTTACTCAATGTGATTAGGAAGACAGGAATAAGAGAAAACTGAAGTGCAGAACTTAACAGTTCCAAACCCTCAAACATCAAACTATAACCAAGTTACTTTTAATATTTTCTCAATGCTGTGTTTAACAAGATTTTTGTTTTTGTTTTTCCCATCTTCTGAAGTTAGTGACAATGGCCTGAGTGAACTTGCTGCCTTACCTTTGTTTCATATGTTCTCCCCTAAAACTTTTGGGGCACAGGCTTCACAAAAGTGAATGCTGTTTTCAGGGACTAGACTTTACCTTAAATGATAAACTCTCCATATATGCATGTTTATTCATACTTTATACATCTCTCTCATATGTTAAATACAGTGTATCTTCCTGTGACAACTCTGGGCCAAGCACTGTGCCAGGCTCAAGGGAACACAGTGAATGAAACACTTCTCGCCTTAGGCTTTTGGTTCGGTGGGATAGAGCGTCGGCCTGAGGACTGAAGCATCCCAGGTTCCATTCCGGTCAAGGGCAAATGCCCAGGTTGCAGGCTCAATCCCCAGTGGGGGGCATGCAGGAGGCAGTCGATCAATGATTCTCTCTCATCATTGATGTTTCTATCTCTCTCTCCCTCTTCCTTCCTCTCTGAAATAAATAAAAATATATATTTTTTAAAAAGGAACACTTTCTCCAGGACCATCCAGTCCTCTGTGATCATAAACCCATCAATGGATGACCAATGGGCCATGCGATAGATGCAGTAAGTGTGGCATCCAGATTAACAACAAGTAAGCCTTGGGAGCGGGGAGCATCCATGGTGAGCAGGGACAACTGGAGGTGAGTTTGGAAGATGAATGTGGAATTGCTGATGAAGCAGAGGTGGAGGGCACTCTGGGGGAGCCACATCAGCAAAGACCCAGAGGTTTCCAAGGACGGGGTTGGTGGCAAGTTCTTCTAGAAGCTTCCATGAGCCTGATCAAGATATACTTCTCTGTGGCATGCCATGATATTACATCATGCATAATAAATGTGCACTTGACCCAACTGCCATCTAGACTATAAACTCTCAGGGACACTGTCTGTGGCTGGGAGGTGCTCAATGGAACTTGGTTGAATAAACAAGTGAACAAGGACAGGGTCTCTGTCTGTGTGCTCACTGCCAACCCTGGCAACTTAAAGTGTACCTGGGACTTGTGGGTGTTGATACCTACTTGTTGAATGAATGAAAAAGTAAACACCATTACACTAGTTGTCTTTGCCATGCCTGTGCCCCTTCCCCCGATTGCCCAAGGGTGTGGGCTGGCAGAAAGCTTGACCCATGATGCTGACTCAGGACTTACTGCTGACAAAGGAGGGCAACAGCCTCCCAAAGCGCATGAGAGGCTCCTCGTTGAGCTCAGTGGACTTATCCACAAGCTTGAAGAACACATCACTTGGCTCGCTGGCGAAGCTGTATACCTCCTTGACGTTGACCTTCCTGCCAATGCCCAGAATCACAAAGAAGTAGCCCTTGCATTTGGCCTGCAGGATGGCTCTCTGGGCCTCCTCCAGCTGTTGCTTCTGTACCTCCCCTGTCAGCATCAGAACCACAATTTTCAGGTCCCGTGGGTTGGGTGCACTTTCAAAGACATGATCTATGGTGTAGTCAATGGCACGGCCTAAGGCCCTGGTCCCCTGCAGCTGTGCCATCCTGTTGCCCAGGGCATCCATTAGCTTCTCCTTGGAGCCATAGTCAGTCAGGGAGAATTCCACCTTTACAGGTGGCACACTGGCATTGCCCATGGACTCATAGGGTGCATGCTGCACCACGGCCACTCGGGCAAAGTGTTGGGAAGCCTTGGGGTCAGGGCTCAGGTCCAGCTGTCTGACCAGGTACCCTATGTACTTCTTCATCTCGTTGAATTGGAACAGGGTGGTGGACTCAGAGCTGTCTAAGATGAAAGCCATGTCGATGTCCACATCGCTGCCTGCTGCTCGCCGGTCCCTAAAAGAAGGCCTCCAGCTGCCGAATCCACAGGATGGGTCGATGTTGCAGATGTCTACAAAGAAGCATGGCAGCCATTTATATTGGGACTCCGCAGCGAGATATGACCAATCAATCTGCTGGGAGCCCGGACAGCAGAAACTGTCACAGAACGTAGAAACCTATTTAAATCTTGTCAATATTGTTGTGGTCAAATTCCCATTTTCATCGTAGAATTCTTACTAAATAAAACAAGTTAAATTCTGTTGGTATTCTGTGGCATTGGCATTAAAAAGGAAGGGAGAGAGGGAGGGAGGAGGGAAAGGATGGGGAAAGGAGAGGAGAAGGGAGGGAAGGGAAGGAG